CGGAAGAAAAAGCTGTACAAAGTCTGAGGTATATGGAGGAGCAATCACATCCAGCACCTGAAACAGCAGACAAAAATGGGTTATTCTTCCAGTTAGAGGGGTAGCAGGGACAATATTTAATTCACAATACTAGTCTTGAAAGCATACACGTAGTTGCACTTGAGACCTCTTGTTCTCCATACAAGTAATTAATTATGTATTCTTGTGGTGCTCTACCCAGTACCTTAACACTCTCAGAAGTCAGGAGTCAGTAGGACGAAGTCACATCTTAGTGAATACTGATATTACATACACATTGCTCAAAACCTGATCTCATATCTTAAAATATTTTTGAATCGAAGGCAAGCTGATTTAATATCCAAACACATACAACTGATATTAAAGTTTATTTCTGTATGTTAGTAAACACAATTTTTGCTGCTGACCTCTGTAACAAAATATCTGATGAGAGAGATATCTGTATCTAGCTTCTCCAGGCATTTGCGGATATAGCTGACAACAGGCAGGACATATCCTCGGCTGAGTAAGTGCACCATTCTATCCAGGAGAGTCTTCTTCAACTCCAGCTGATGGCGAGGGTCAGGGGGGTGGGAGGGGGAGGAGAAGAAAACAACAGATTAGAACTTCCTCTCAAAAGCGTGCAATTTTTAGTGCTCCTTCTTATTGATTCAATATCTGCTACGTTACTTTTTAACCGTGACCATATTCCTAAATTAAACTCTTAAAACCCCTGTGACAGTGAAAGCTGTTATCTTGAGGAAGTGTAACTAACATGAAGGAACACAAATACCAAATCCTTTGAGAATTACCTGCTCCATTACATCAAGCTGCGAATGTTCTGTTTCGAAGAGCTTGACAAGAAGTTGCAGAACTTGGGGATGAAGCAGCTGATGGCATGTACTGATCTGCAAAGAAGAGAATAAAGTTAGACCCTCAGAACTTCGATTTAAAAACCAATGCCCCAGTCTTTATTAGACAAGTTTACATTGACGTTCAGTGCCAGATGTAAATTCTTTTAGAAAAGTATTCCACCATTTCCTTCTTTGATGCCTAAGTTTTCCTAGTGTAAATAATGCTGAGATGACAAAACCAAATAATTAACTCTGAACAGAAACAGATTCATCTCTGTATATTTACTGACTTACTGCAAATGCTAGGCATCCAGTGAACTGGATGTACATCCAGTTACAAGCATCAAAAGTGTTTTTACTCTCCAGCAAGATTTTATATGCGCTTTTACCTCATCCAATAATGCCAGATGAACCGGAGTGTGATCAGTCTGCAGCTGGAAGTATCGTGGTTCTGACACTGTCCAATCCACCCACTTTAATACACCCATTGCCACCACTGGGAACCTACAGAAGAAGAGATCACTTCAGCACAGGAGCATCAAAAAAAACCAAAAACCAAAAACCCCACACCAGAACAAAAGACAAAAAACCCTCAAACCTCAAAACAAAAAACTCCCAGTAAATTTAAAAAAAATCACCTTTCAGTATATTCTAATGGTTGCAAGTTTCAGTTTAACTTACAGCAGAATTAATAAAGCTCAAAAGTTTTGTTTGAAAAGTTGCCAGCACATCGGGGGGGGTGGGATAGGCCAGAGCAAAATTCTTTCTACAAAGACACTCCCTGCTCAGCACAAAATGCAAAACATAAGCAACGAGATTCATGTACCCTCCGAGTTTGTTCCTGTTTATTCAATGTCTGCTATTTCATACTTTTAAAAGGAGAAGAAAAAGCGTCTATTTAAAAGCCTCTATTGCTAGGAAAGCTTTATTAGGAAGACAAAGTAATCTGACATCTGTTTCCAGCGGCAGAGAAGAGCATATTCTGTGACACAAGGACAAATTGTCAGTGAAAGGCAGAATCTATGTCCTCAGGAAAGAGA